CAGCCTGTCCGCTCCCTCGGAATGTTGAAAACCGCACTCATGGCCGCCTTGTCGTCGCACATTACCTGATCACGGAGGACTACGTACTGAGGACTATCAAACTACTCACATTCTTTACCTCTCGTTTGGTTTAGCGGTCACCAGCCATGAGTCCCACCCTCATCACTCGAGGCCGCAATGATGTGCAGCTGGCACAAAATGTGGCTGGAGCGGATTTCAAAGACTTCCGCTACGAGGTGGAAGTCACTTCTCCCAGCAACGGCGAGGAGAATCCTGATGAGATCACTCTTGAGGCCTGGCAAGCGGACGAGGCTCAAAAGTCGGCCAACGTGGTGACCCACGATGCACCTCGTGGTATGCAGCAGGCGGAGGCTGCAGCATTGGCTTGGAGCAAGAAGATGGCTTATCTCACTTATGCACTGTGAGTCCCCCACTCCTATAATGATATCTCATATCTGACATGATCTGTTTCCGACCACAGGATCTGGCTTTCCTTCTTTATGTTAGCGCTACAGTCCTCGGTCAGCAGCAATGTGATCCAGAACGCCTACGCCAACTTTGAAGCTGCCCCCGAAGTGAGTACGGCAGGCATTGCAGCTAGCGTGATTAGTGGTGTCGTCCGACTTCCTGCAGCGAAGTTGTTGAACGTCTGGGGAAGAACGGAAGGGTTCCTAGTCTTTGTCGGTGTTTACCTCCTTGGACTTGTTATCCTTGCAGCATGCAACAATCCCAGTTCCTATGCAGCCGGTTATGTTCTGTACTGGGTCGGATATGATGCTGTCTATCTCATCCTCGATGTCTTCATGGCCGATACTGCCGGGATGCGTAACCGAGCTTTCGCCTTTGGTTTCGCCAGCACTCCTTTTATCTGCACTGCGCTCACCGGCCCCTTGGCTGCCGAGTCAATCATCAAGAGAGCATCATGGCGCTGGGGATACGGTATATTTGCTATTGTGATGCCATTTGTATTCATTCCTCTGGCTGTGATATTCAAATTCTACCAACGAAAGGCGGAGAGTATGTATATCTACGGTCGGGAGCCAAGTGGCCGGAATTTCTGGGAATCAGTAGTTCACTACTTCCATGAATTCGACGGTAAGCACAATCCTCTTCGCTTCAATTGACATTCTCTGACTCTCCTGCAGTGATTGGTGCATTCCTCTTGACCGCTGCCTTCCTCCTCCTCCTACTCCCATTCAGTCTCGCATCTTACGGACGCGCCGAGTATAAGAGTGCCGCTTTTATCTCAATGATCATCGTTGGGTTCGTGCTGTTCGTCTTGTTTGGTCTCTGGGAGCGATTCGGGGCTCGCAATCACTTCATCAAGTGGCGAGTTTTCAAGCAGCCCACGGTAATAGGAGCTTGCGGTCTTGCAGCCTGTCTCTTCTTTAGTTACTACACATGGGAGCTTTACTTCTACAACTTCTGCATGGTCGTTTACGGGCTGAGCATTGGCATGGCCGGCTACGTCGGGCAAATTTACAACGTTGGCTCATGCTTCTGGTCTGCTGTGTTCGGCGTAACGGTCTATGTCACCCGGCAGTTCAAGTATACCTGTTTAGGTTTTGGACTACCCCTGGTCCTACTTGGAGCAGGGTTGATGATCCACTTTCGATCGGCCGGCGGAGGCATCGGGTATATTGTGATGTGTCAGATATTCATTGCCTTCGGAGGTGGCACCCTGGTGATTGGCGAAGACATGGCTGTCATGGCTGCCTCTGATCGTGAGGGAGTCCCCATGATGCTCTCACTGATTGGTCTCTTCTCGAGTCTGGGCGGTGCAGTAGGCTACGCAGTTGCCGCTGCCATCTACACCAACACCTTCCCTGGTGCACTGAGGGATGCATTACCCGAGGGCAGCAAGGATAAAGCGATGGAGATCTATGTGGGCGGGTACCTCACGCAGCTCGAGTATCCCATTGGTTCCGCTATTCGTAATGCGATCAATGCGGCGTACGGAGTCTACATGAAGTATGCGTGTATTGCAGCTGTGGTAGCGATGGCCCTGGGGATTCCTTGCGTGGCCATGTGGAAGAACTTCAGGCTGAACAAGCCACAGCAGAACAAGGGCCAGGTGATCTGAGGATATGTGTATAGAGGTTTTGTAGAGTAGCATACAAGATACCATTATAGTCATTCTTCCATAATAGTCATTGCTTCCGTAATAGTCATCCCTTACACGGCAGTCATTCCTTCCATAGTAGTTATTGCTTCCATAGTGGTCATTGCTTCCATGATGGTCGGGGTCACTACACTGGTTATTTTCACCGGAGTAGAATAGCTCCGCAATAACGTAACGGTAGAAGATGATAGATCAATCTCCGAATACCTCTCATTGAGGAAAAGCCCTCCGAGACCCGAGTAGGATCACTTTGCTGCCCATCACAAGCGTCCCAGAAGCCATTCCATCTTGGCAGCAGCCATCAAAAGAAGAGAACCAGCCGACGACAAGCGCACCAGCCCAATCATAGGCAACCATGATGACCGCCGAACCCACCTGAGACACGCACGGTGAGCAGACTATGAACGCGCTAACACGCAGAAAATGGCTCAGGTGGAGCCGTGCGATGGCCTTGCCTTACTCAATGTGGAGATGATGAGGCCGATCCGCGTCGGTGATAAGATTGATAAATGCTGGGCGATGTCGGAGCTTGTGCGCCCCTGGCCCTACCTCGCTCAAGACAACGGGGAAGTGACGCACAACGTCCATTCTATGTGGGCTGGTGGGGTTCCAGACCCGTGGTTCCAGCGCTATACTCGCTTCCCTCTTACTCGCGTGCGGACTATTGTCCACTATCGTCTACTTGCACCAGGCTGCCGGTGTCACCACGGACATAAACCCCCTCTTGCCCCAAGCACGTCGACTGGCCAGTGCAGCGTCTCTATCCGACCTCGACCATGCACGAAACAATACGCCCACGACAATGTCTTCCAGCTCCCAGCACGCCAGGAAATGGTCGACGATGCCGATCGACACGAATGCGGCCCCGTTCTTGAGCCTCGACTATGAGGATGAGGTTGTTTACGAGGACAACCAACGCCAAACCATCAAACAAGCCTCCATCTGTGGGCTGGTTGAGCAACTGACACGCCATGATCGGCTAGATGTCTCGTTCAACGAGACCTTCCTCATGACCTACCCGACCTTCGTCTGTGGCAGAGAACTTTTTGAGATTCTCCTCCAGCGACTGAACATGCCCCCACCTCCAGGGCTCAGCGACTCTGACCTCTCACGTTGGACCGAACAGAAGCAGAAGACCGTCCGCTTCCGCGTCATCAACATCCTCAAGACCTGGCTGGAGAGGTACTGGATGGAACCACCCACTGAATCAACAATGGACTTCCTCCGACACATCCACGCCCACATTCAACCTCTCGCCAACGTTCCCACTGCCTCGCAACTCATCACCATTATCGAGCACCGCTTGAAGGGTCAAGACATCCTCAAACGTTACATGACTCCCCCAAACAGCACAGTGCCAAAACCACTCACCCCGAAGAACATGAAGAAGCTCAAGTTCCTCGACCTTGACCCGATGGAGATCGCCCGCCAACTCACCATCATCGAATCACGTCTCTTCGCTCGGATTAAACCTACCGAGTGTCTCAACAAGTCATGGCAGAAGAAAGAAACCGATAGACCACCATCTATTCCTCCCTCACGCCGCACCAGCACCAGCACGACCAGCAGCACCAGTTCTATCGAACGCACCACCGGTGTCAACGCCACAATTCTACATTCGAACCAGCTCGCCAACTGGGTAGGAGAGATGATCCTGGCTCACGATGAGATGAAGAAGCGCGTCTCTTTGATCAAGCAGTTTGTTAACATTGCCGACGTATGCCCCCCCCCCCCCCCCCCCCTTTACTCGAACACTCTCAGCTCACATGCTAACACACCATGCTATCAATAGAACTGCCGCTCCCTTAACAACTTTGCAACCATGATGTCCCTAATCTCCGGCCTCGCCACAAGCCCCATCTACCGTCTCCACCGCACCTGGACGCAAGTGAGCCCCAAGACACGCAAACTCCTCGAAGACATGCAAAGCCTCATGTCCAGCGACAAGAACTTTATCAAGTACCGAGAGAAGCTCCGCGCAGCAGGCCCACCGCGCATCCCCTTCCTCGGTATGCAGCCTGACTTCCCTGCCTCCTTTCCAACCAAATCTTAGCATACTAACACCTAATTTACTAAAGGAACCTACCTAACCGACCTCACCTTCATCGAAGACGGCATCCCAAGCCACACCCCGCCCCCGAACGTGATGATAAACTTCAGCAAGCGGATCAAAGTCGCTGATATCCTGCGCGAGATCGAGAGCTGCCAGGCTGTCGGGTACAGTTTGCTTCCTGTGCCTGAAATACAGGAGTTTATTGTCCGGAATGTGCAGGCAGCAGGAGGTGATGTCGAGGGCATGTATGAGAGGAGTTTGGCGTTGGAGCCGAGGATGGCTGGTGAGGAGAAGATGAATATGGGGCAGCTGGGGGTGGGTATGGTAGGGATGAATATGGGAAGGGGAGGGTATATATCTACGGGGAGTCATATGAGTTCGGTGGTTATTGCTAGTATGGCTTTGCGGTAGTCAGGGTAGGACAAGGGAGGAGGGCTTATGAGGTATGATTTTACGAGGTTATTGATATGGTTTGGTTTGGAGTCCTTGGTGTTTTAGGAATTTTAATTTTGTATCGTGCTTTATGGCTCATGAGATAACATGTTGTAATCGATAGAAGATAGGCTTCCGCACTATGTCTATTGCAACCATCGTTCTAAAGAAAGCCTCCAGACAGTATTCTGGGGCTAATTAATATTGTCTCTCTTCAACCACATGAAATGCACAGCACATTCATTCAGTCAGACATAGGTCGAAACAAAAAAATACAGAACCAAAGCAATAATCTAAACAGCACTCCCTATCCTGACAGGGAGCGGCACCCTTCAAACCAATAACCCAATACATAATACACAAGAACGAAATTAAGAACCGAAATCCCAATCCCAAGAACACAAGCGCACCTACTCAACGGCAATCCTCACCTGATCAAAATCAACGACAGCCCTGAACTCCCTAAACTTCACATAGACAGTAACAACAACACCACGACCATTATACTCCGCCTCTCCCGGAGGCACTTTAACGGCAAACGACGAAGTCTTGGGACCGGGGAACCGTTCCCGGAATGCCTCCATGTTAGCGAAGCGAATAGCCACGGCGTCGACGTATGCCTTATCGGTCTCGAAGTCAACGGCGACGGAGGTTATGTTGGGGTTCTCGCGTGGTGGAGCGGGGAGGATGAAGTGCACGGCGCCCTGCTTTGCATCGGGTCTTGATGGCTGCACGATGGCGCCGCCTCTGTCCGGGCGGATTTTGAGGGCCGGGTCGGCGATGGCGCCGGAGCCGGGGCCTTGGAGCCAGATTGCCATTGTGGTTGGGAATGTGGGTGGCTTTAGGTGTTGTTAGTTGGGTGTGTGTGTTTGTTGGAGGGGGTATGGGTGGTACTCACAGTTTGGTGGGTTGTAAGGAGATTGATCTTGGGTTGTCTTGAAGTAGGAAAAGATGTTATTTGATCGCTAAGTGCTATCTGGAATAAGACCGGACGGGGCAGGGACTTATATAAGTATTTGAAAAGGATGCTGAGTGAGCATCATTGGCCATTGGTCGTTGTATGAAGATACCCAAGAGAGTCGAGGCTCGAGAAGGGCGACGTTGTCCACTTCCCATTAGCTGGTGAAACAGCTTGCAGTGTGCTGTAGAGTGGGCATTGGTGAGCAATTTTGGAACGAGGCGACCAATTGATGTGAACAAATTGTGATGCTAAGGGCTTAGTTTATCTTCTCATCCAAGAACTCTCTGTATGTGGTGAGAAGGAGCAACAAATTATGAACAAGACGAATGCATATAGGGTAGTTATGTTACGTGAGGCAAAGTATGGACAGCCTCCCCTTGACTACAGCATTAACAGAGGTATTATGGGCACGTGACTACTTGTCCCTGAGTTATAGTGCTAAAGTCACCCAAAAACCCCGGTCGCACGTACTGAATCGGACATTATAACCTACAAACAGGCGTAGATCGACAGGAGAAGGCATAGCCTGCCTGGTAGCAGTATGGTTGGGTAGAAATGCGGCCTTACGATGCAATGTGGTCTCAATTAACAGACACAGTCGACACGTGCAAGTCCCCATTCCCACTAAATGTACGAGGCAGTGGGCACATATAATTAGCTCGCGAATGCTGATCCGGGTGCGCTGTTCAGCAAGGCTGAGGGTCCAAGTGTGGGTATCCCTCGGCCAAGTGTCGGTGAAGCTGACAAAGCGGGTAGCGAGGGCAAAGAATGAGGAATTCGAAAGTAACGAATGGCCTTGATCAGTAGCACTATGTAGGCACCCAATGGTGAGTCAGGTTTAATGTTATGCCATAGTGCCCAGAATCGTCCTTCCTGTTATTCGAAACATGTTGGAACGCTATAGGAAATCGAGAACATCTATCCCTACATTGGGGTTAAGCGAGTCCTCGACACCGACCAATTCGCAGGACCAGAAGACAAAATCACAGCATTGATTTATGTATAATCGTAGTTGTATGTATAAATTTAGCATAAAAATTGCAACCCACTATCCAAACCTAACTCAATATACACTCGCGCATATGCGCCATACTATATGGCGGTGACTTCAACAAGTCGTAATACATGGGTATCCTGAGCAATGACTCCAGTAAGCAATATCAACAGGAAAAATATAAAACTGCAAAGCTTTCAAGGGGCAGACAAGAGGTAAGTCACGATTGGGTGAGCTGCCTCTGACTCCGACGAGCCTTTTCGATAGCGCAGTGGCCTAGTCTGATCAACTCGGCCACGAAATTCGTAACTGTTTGCATATGTGCAATCTCTACATCCGAAGTACGTCGCCGACGAACATCCCTGACGAGGTCTGGGACCACCGTCAGTAGATGCAAATCTTCTTCCACATATGGATCAAGTGGGTTCGCTAAAATGCTGCAAAATATGGTGAGGATGGCGGACATGGGATAGAAGATGATCATCCTAGGTGCCATATTAGTACGAATAGATCGGGTCCAGATATACCACGTGAGAACGCACCAAAAGGCCTCAGGACGCACTGAACTGATGACCGTTCGAAGAAAATGTAGCGAAGACCGACTAGCCTCTACGGCTAAGAGCATGCTTGAATTTACTCCCTCCAGCATTCCAGTCTTGCAACTTCTCCATTGCTGACCCCAGGCTTCACATCGTCCACTGGCGCGATGAATGGTGCACATCATATAATGATATTCCAGTCGAATGACAATTGGTTGCATGCGGTATACTGGTATCGGGTGCTGTTCCTGGAAAGTCCCGAGGGTTGGGCGGTGCCCGGGTGGTACATTTAGGCGCCATTGCTCGAGTTCGTCGTCAAGCTCGCGGATATCTTGTAGCAGTTGGGCGTCGGACTTGCGCAGCGCTTTAGCAGAGTAGAGTGTCCGGTAGGTTTTCGACTTGAGCATCGTCAGTCGTAAATCTCCGGGGAAGATGGGTATGGCCATGTCGTCGTAGCGGATAGGATTGCCCTCCGTGCTGGGGTATTGGATTTCGGTATAGTTCGGTGGAAGTGTAAGATCGCAGTATTCATCGTGAATAACTGGCGGTTGGCCGGACCGGAAACATATCTCCTTGTCGAAGCCATAACAGAGCCAGAATAAGCGACGGAGCATTCGTTGAGATCGCCATTTCCGGTCTTGGGGGTCTTTTGATGACTCTCGGAACGCGTCTGCGGTCTCGCCTGTCTCTCCGCCAAGCATGAACATGACCCGACATGCCATGGAATGAAATTGGTTGGCTAATTGTAGTTCACCTGTGAATGTTCGGTATATAGCCTGGAGTCGCAATCAATGAGATCGGTGCTTGGCCGTGAGTGGGTAGGGTCAGTCCTCACCTGCATGACCATGGTCTGTAATGTAGATACACTGACATCGTGCAGAATATACGGAAGGAGGCTTTGTGCCTTGGCAGCGTAGACTGGAGGATCTACCGGGGGAAGACTTGGGGACGGATCCAGCTCGGCAATGAATGAAAGGAATGCAAAGATACACGCTCTAGCCCGGGCATATTCCACAGGCGGCGGCCCTTGACATGGTCGATACGCGAGCTCCACGGTATCCCGGAAGAGAACCTCATCCACCACCGGAAAGACCATACATTCACCAGAAGTGAAGAAGTGGCTCACGTACTGTTCCACCAACGACCGGTCCGGAAGGTCCGGTGTGACAGAGTGGTTGTAACCATTCTGCGGGTGGGGAGTCGTCAGGTGAGGGACCTGGTTTGGGTACTTGTGCGACCAGACATCCTCGAATGTGCCAGGCTCTCCAGTACAGGACTGCACCCACTCGTGCCCAGATTGTGAGAAGCAAGGGATACCACTATATGACCGAATCTCACCCACATAGTGACCGGCAAAGTGGATCTTCCCGAACAGTAGGCCACTACTAGGAGCCGGATTATCCGTCTGAATAGGCAGCTCCGACGACCCAGCCAAGCTCGGAGACTGTTCAGTATCCAGATGGCCTTTCTCCAGTAAGGAAAGACAATTCCTTGGGTGCTGTGTGGTCGAGATCGACCGTGTGAGAAGCTCTTCAAGCTTCCGCACCCTGTCCTCCAGATCTTCCTGGTGAGGTCGTCTCAAGGGTCTGAGGAGTTAGTGGCATGTCACAGGGAACAAAACATACAATCTCACCTTGGATTGGCGGGTTGAGTGGTTTTCTTTCGTTTGTTTCCGCCAACAGGCCTATCAAAGGTACAATCCAGGTTATGGTGGCGGCACCAATTACAGGGGACAGATGTATCACATTGGATCTGACCCGCGGGAAAGGTTAATACACTATTGCAAATTGGACTGAAAGTGGACACCCGAAGCGCAACCTACTTTTCTCCGATGGCACGAGTCACAGGCCCGGGCAGTACGCCGGAGGGGCACATACCGATCCCCCTCGGGGGTAGGGCTGGACTCCGGCACGCGCGCCTGCATGTTACAATGTCGATCCAAGGGGATCCCAGGGACAAAAGCGCGAGTGGGGACCAATCAGCAAAAATGACAGCAGGTTCTATGAACCTCCTAAGCAAGAGCTAAACCGAGCAATGGGATGTCAATGGGGCTGCGCGCATATCCGCACAGCAGAACATGACAATCCCTTTGAGGCTCGACGCGCCACCGAGACATCCGGCTCGGTCCTGCCGCTTAGTCATCGGCATCGGCCACGGGCTCTCCGGTAACCCAATCGGGAATCCTTTCAATATATGCCGTATCATGATAATGCGAAAAAAAAAACTTAGAGAAAGAGAGGGGATTATACTCGACGTCAGTACGTTCAATTTCCCGGCATAGTTCTTTAGCTCATGAAAATCTCGGTGGCGTCGATGCACTGCCATCATCTCTTTTCGGCAATATCGGGCTCAACCGCCAAAAAGAGGGCCTTGAGCCGCGGCTATTTTAGTGGTTTCCGCATTGGGTTTACCATTAATCGAAGTGCCTCGGAGTGTCTCAGCTAGACACACATTATTTGCTGCGTGGCCTGATTGTTAACTCCGAGCTGCCAGTGGGCCTGACTGGGTCACATTTATGCACATGAAATGAAGGGCTCGAGGAAAGGTCATAATTATGCAGACATATGCTATGACATGTTGTCCACCCGGAGGACCGCGTTAAGCCATTGCTATGGTTATGAATGAGGCAGCTATTTATGTCTACGACCTACTTCCCCATCGGATACCTTATTCTGCACCACCGCTTATCCTTCACTTCTGAAGACAATCATCCTGCCACCGGTGTTTCTGCTCAAAGCCCAACAACTCCTTCATCTTTCTATTAGTCACTGGGGCCTCCTTCTCCCCCATTTCCCTCGTAATTGGAACATTGGGGCACATCTTCTGCAAAAACTCCGTCGTGCTTGAAGTATTCGTAATCTCATCATTCACCGCATTAAAGACCTGGAACCCCAATCCATCGGTGACAATGCCCCGCTCAAACATTAGCCCAATATCTCTGGCATCCGTATACGCCCATCCATGCACCTTATACTGCTCCGGCGAATGCATGTACTCCTCAAATCGACTCCGCAATTCCTCCGGCGCGACAATAGCGCCCAGTCGCATGACATAGATATCAGTTCCGAATCGGCGAGCAAAGCTCCGCGCCGTACGTTCCCCAATCACTTTCGTTAGACCATACACGTCCATCGGATTGGTATCTACCTCCTCGTCAACCGGGAACGAAGGATAATCGACATCCCCTTCTGCAAAAGCAACCCCGTATGCGCAGAGTGAACTGGCAGTTATGATCTTCGGTACGCCTATCCGACATGCAGCTTCGAGGACATTATAGGTGGAGAGAGTATTGCCTCGGAAGGTCTCATTATCAGGGACGATCATGTTGCGTGCATACCCGGCTAGATGAATGACGGCATCGGGGACCTGGCGGAGGGGTTCACAGAAGGGTTCCGTGAGATGGAAATGGGAGTGCAGGGCGCCATGAACTTGACCGTTGTCGGTGAGATCAACTTTGAGGGTATGGACTTTGTTGCTGAGGGGAGCGGGAAGTGGGTTCAGGTCCAGGTTGAGGATGTCGTAGTTTTGGGCGAGGAGGTGGGCAATGATGAATTGGCCGGCTTTGCCGGAGCCACCGGTGAGGATGATGCGTTTGGACATGGTGGTGGAAGTAAAGGGGTGATTCTAGGAAGTTGAGGGATAGCTTGGGACATGTTGTGAACAGGAGCTGCTGCTGCCCTTGGTCTCAGTGGTTTTGTTGCTGGTGCGGGGGTTCGTGGGGTGTCGGGGAATGTCCGGGGAAAGGGCTTTTGGAGTGGTTTATTGGGTTTCTGGTTCGCGGTGGGACCATCATTACCCATTGTAGACTATACCACAGTGTAGTACTCCATAGTCCGTAACAATATTACTTTGTAGTTATATACCAGGAAAGACATATCTTCAACTGACAGAAGGATCCGATCGCCATGCAGGATTTGTCCAGAAATGATACTCTGGCGCCAATGAGAATGTTTGGCCCCCGAAACTTGCAGCTAAAATCTCACATGACCAACCATGCCCCTCGCGATCTCTCACCGTCTCGCAAGTCGCAACAACTCATCTCGTTTCGCAAACTCTAGCATCGCAGGTTCGATTCTTTCGTTCTTATACTGATTAGGAGACGGACTATATTATCCCAGCCTCCCACCCTTATACTCCTTACTCTACACCACCTTCAGAATGTTCCCTCCCGAACCCCGCCCCCGCATCGCCTGCTTCCACGGCGGTGGCTCCAAAGGCGAAATCTACCGAATCCAATGCTCGCGCCTCGCCAGCTTGCTCGAAAATGACTTTGAATTCGTCTTTTTCGATGGTCCCTACACCCGCGACGCCGGTCCCGGCGTCCTCCCCGCCTTCCGCGGCTACGAGCCATACAAATCATGGGTGACGAATGACAGCGACGGCAAGGAACTCATTGATGGCAGTGGATATGACGATGTTGGCCGGGACGGGATCGAGAGGGTCTTGAAGCTGATGGTGCAAAATGACCGAGAGCAAGATGAGCCAGCCGGTCCGTGGGTCGGTGCCATGGGTTTCAGTCAAGGGACCAGAGTGGTGGGTGGTTTGTTGTTGGACCAGCAACGCAGAGCTGCCTCGGGCTGGGATGCGAATGAGGGAATCCAGTTGAAATTCGGAGTTTGCTGCATGGGGGCCGGGGCACCGCTGGAATCGGAGGTTTCGAAACGTATGTTTGCTTGTTTTCCCTATCTGTTAGCGTTTCTTCACGGAGTGACAATCACCCGTGGAGAGGAGTGTTGCCTTCTTCCTGTCCAATGTTGGAAGCTTTTGTCATGAAGTTAACTGACGTGTCGCAGACTTCAACTTTGAAGATAACACAGTCTCGCTGCCTACATTGCATGTCCACGGGCTCAAGGACTGGGTACTGCCGCTCAGCCGACTCCAGTACGCGAAATATTATGACTCGAAAACCAAGAAATTGTACGAGGTTGATTACCATCACGCCATGCCATGGAACACACACGAGGTACAGAAATTGGCGGATTTAATACGGCAGATATATAAGGAGAATGCCTAGAATGCCTGAGACTGCGTGTGCCAGTGCAAGCTCGGGAGGAGTTGTCTTGGGGATATGGCCGTAGAGATGGAGGTCGGATAATGAATTATTCAACACGGGATCATGGATTCTGCGAACAGAATTATAAGTTTAACTCATATAATAAAGATAGACATTGGTTAGTATTCAAGATGCACTTTCCAAGCTCTTTATCAGTTGTCAACTGGCAGAGCGGGTCGGCAAATCAGAACAGCACAGGAACCATTTTCCGGCTGTCTCCGTAGTCTTGATCACAGTGCAAACCGCCATCATGGTGCCTGCAACCACATGGGTCCACGCGAGTTGAAAACAATGAAAACAATACTGAAAACATTGAAAACAAGGTGAAAACACTGAAAACAATGAAAACAGGGGATAGGGCCACGACCCTAGTCACAACACAAGGGGTAACTATTTAAATGCGACCGTAAAATAGAATGCAGCTCTTGGAACTATCACAGCTGGACATTTTGGAATGTTTTTATACTCCCTACATGAGTAGCCATCGTTGTCATGATCAATGGACGGCAAACCATACCAGCTTCATATAAAAAGAGCCACTTTGCTCAGAAAAACTCGAAACTTCCTTGGGAAGGTTCCTGCTTCCCTGTTTTCAGTCAGAAACCAGGGAAGCCACCCGAGTGGTCGGTATGTCACTATTCGCCTCCCCCTCTCCATGATCAACACCATTACAGTCCTATGATGTCCGACATCCCTTACTTAAATATTGTTCACTTTTTTCTCTGTGGTGAAAAAGAATTGTACCTATTCAAGACGGGTCTCTGATAGGCTTCTACCATTCAAACTTTGTCACATTGTCATGTTGTCAACTGCAGCAGCTAACATCAATGCTTGCTAGGAATCATCCCGTCCCGTCCACATCTACCAGTATAGATATGAATCTCATGCGATCGCAAATTTTCATTAGCGAAATAATAATGGAATGCACAAATCAGAAACATTCTCAGAGTATCCGATTACTAGATCCCACAATCAGCACAGTAATAAATTTAATGCTCCCACCGCAACATCCTCTCATTCTCCAATACCCTCTCCCCATCTCCGTCCCCCTTCACAACAACATCCACCAACACCTTTGCCAAATCATCCACCCAAATCGACGGGCCCATTCTAAAGATCACTGTCCTCAAACTCATTCCCCGTGCAAGAACCATCCCCGGTCGAGCAATATACACCTCTAAATTATTGTTGTTCTTCTCGTAGTCGCTCAATGCGTTCTCGACTTGTCCCTGTTCATAGCCGCCGTTAGTATCATATCCTTCATCTTAACGTAGACCATAGACCTCCACAACACATGTACTAACTAGTAAGAGAGAAATAACAACTTCAGAGGGGGGTTTACTCTAATCTTCCTCGTCTCCCCCGCCATCCACAACGACCTACTCTGATCCCTCTCCGACATCCCTCCGCTCAGATAAACAAAGCGGAACTCCCCCCCTCCCTCAACTGAGAAAGATAAATGTGTGCCAAAGGCCCTCATCGCAGCCATCGTATACTCAACGTTGATTCTCCGAGCTGTTTCGGTATCTCGGGTTCTGTTCACCCCGATCGCCCTGTTTCGGTAGCCTTTCATTAGCTTCACGGAAATACTTGTTATATCTGTACGGGAGATGGGTTGGAAAGGTATACCAAATACACGCCTCCGCTCCCCTCAACTCCTGCAATAAACTCTCAGGGTATGTAAGGAAATCATCCACGAGTCTGACCGTGAGCTTGGGGTTATTGGTAGGGAGCGGGCGCCGGGACAGCGCAATGATGGATGTGATGTGCGGGTTTCGCAGACATTGGGTGAGGATTTCGTGGCCGATGAAGCCAGTACTGCCGGTGAGGATTATTTTCATTATGATTCAGTTACACTAGAGAGCTTGATGGTTTGGCATAGTCTGATGATATGGTGCTTATTGTTGTGAATGGGGGTTGTTTGGTGTAGATATCATGGTAGGTCGTCGTAGATAACGCGGTTAGCTGGACACAGCCACTTTGATCATCATCAGGCTGAATAGTTAGAGCTACTAAGGTGTGGAAGGATTCTCGTAATATCCTATGTATTATGGGCTTACGAATTGAGGAAAGACGGAATTTGCACGAGTAGAGTTCTATGATATGGAACGTCTTTGTCAATCGTGATTCGTTATCTTGGGTGTTCTAACAATAGGGCATCTAATCAGGTTGGCTCGCTGGAAGAAGCAGATATAAGGATATGTTGCGGGCGCATTTCATCAATCGCAGCCGAAAGGCTACTGATGACCCGGGTGATACTGGGGACCAGGCTGGTATGGCGCACCCGGTTGCTGATATTGAGGACCCGACTGATTTGGGGCACCATGTTGGTACTGCGGATCACCGTGATACTGGTATTGCGGACCAGGGCCTTGTTGAGGTCCCTGCTGATACTGAGGCCCAGACTGGTACTGGGGCCCGGGTTGATACTGCGGACCAGAACCAGACTCGGGCCTAGGCGGATATTGAGGACCTGGTTGATATGGTGCTCCCTCGCCTGGAGCCGCCCCAGTATGAACCATTTGAGTATGCTGAAGATCCTCAGGTGCATAATCACTAGGACTCGGTCCCATGGGCGCTTGCACTCCAGCAGGAGCCTGGTCAAAGTTCGCATCACCCTGCGCGGAACGAATGGTGTGCGTCAACATTCGCACGGACGGGTTATCCGTGCGCACATGTCCCGTCAGGATCTCTTTGACAGGAACCTTCCGACCGTAGAACCTCTCATTCTCATCATTTCGTTCAATAACAATTGTTCCATCAATCTGCACCCCCGCGTAGAAACCCCGACTCTTGACATAGCACCAAATCGGCGCCCGGCGCTTGTGCACCTCCGACTCCAACACCCCGCCCATGCCAATCGGGCCCGCAGCAACAGTAATCTCGCTGCCTAGGGTCACTCTGACCTTGGTGAATGCTTCCAACGCCTCGTAGGTATTGATAACCATCACGCAGTCGTAGATATCTGCACCAACAAGGAATCCCAAACCAGCCGTATGCAACAAGATTCCCGAAGGGGCACTCCATTCCCCGGTCTCCGGTACCCGGGCGATCAAGATGCCACTGCCACCAGCTCCACTGAACCACAACCCCGTTCTCATGGCCGTGAACACGACGATTCCCTTTGCCTGCCGGATCACTTCCGAGGGGATCTTCTTCAACACCTTTTGCTTTCCGCGCGGCTTGTCGATTTTCTGTTTCGATGATGATGCGTCGTTGCTGTTGACAGGAGGCGCAGTGTCCGCAGCTGGCTCGTCCACGTAGACTCCATCTTTACAGAAACTGCGGAGAATGCGGGCGACCTTTTCGCTTTCTTTGTCGAGGGTCATGGGCCAGAAAGCTTCGGAGCCCAGCTTGTTGCTGAGTCGGTTGACGGGGGCGCCTAGCTTGTCGAGGGCGCCCCAGGCTTTGTCGAAACCCATCTTGCCGTAGGTCTTGGTTTTATCCCACATCTTGTGGCTGTTTGTGTTGGTGGGTGGTTGTGACATTGTGAGGGTCGGAAGGGAAGGCGGTTATAGGAGGGTATTTTGAGGAAGAGGTGGTCTAAATGGGAAGAGAGGTGTATTTATGTCTGATTCTTGACAGGCAGAGAGGAAACAGGATATCTAGTGTGAATAAGGCGATGGCTGACGTAGGGCGACGGAAGCACTCAAAAATGAAGGCATCAACAATGGCGGGGCATCTGCGACCCGCGGGTCCCGCTATTTTGAGTGGCTAAGCCTTCGGGATGTCGTAATCGTATTGAATTGCTTCTTGCTATGCTAGGCTGGGGGGTCCCAGTTGCAACAGGTCAGAAATGAGTGCAACAGGTTCGGTAACCTGGTTATGTATTAGGGAATAATATATCTTATTTACTATTATTATTATTATTATTATTCATTTGTAATTATCGATAGTATTTTTTATACTGTCTTCTGGCACCAATTTTACTTAAATTATTTCCTCAAATAGGAATGTGTCCACAGAAGAAGCGCATTAGCTGGCCTTAAACATTCTTTCAGCTTTGGGCCCACAGGTACAGATTGCAGTGGCAATAAATGGTCCGTTACATGTAGCCTTATCTACTTACGACGAGGCGCATTCACAATATTGATACCTATGGCACTGACTCTAGGCGAATCAAGCCCATTCAGCAAAAATAGACAAGTAGGACAGAGTTTCTTTATAACAAATAAACTCCCAATCCCTTCCCCACTTCCCCCTAACCTGAGATTGAGTGAGAAGGGGTTCTTCCTTTTATTATAACCTTTGATAATACACGGATCGGTCTTCAACTGGCCGGCAAGCATACTCAAAGCAAACTCGTCAATGCAGAGCAAGAACCACTGGAGTGGTCGGCGACGGAAGGCTGTGCTTCTTGTTGTAGTATTCTCCCACACGAGAAGCAGGCCATAGGGAGAAGGGCACCTCGCGATACGTACTCCAAGACTATTAGCTGAGCACAGTAGCTTTAATGCTTTAATTAATCATGAATTTACACTATGAGATTTCCCGCAGACATGGTCGGTTCCGCAGTAGATCCATAGTACCACCCACCAGTTTGCCTTCCGAGCACTAATGAATGCAAACTCAAGGGAACATTCAATGTCGCTCGTTGGAGGCGGGCTATATGATGCACTTTACCAGGGTCTCGAGATAAGGAAGGCGAAAAGAAGAGAAATGTGACTCTTCCATTTTTAGACTTTTACCAAACACATAGGCTAAAATGATGGTCTACATGTATACATTAAGCAGGGCAGTCCGAAATTTGCTGCTAGCTGGGCTGCACTACGCTCTGACCCTCGGCTTTCATGGTCTGCTGACACTCGCAGTGGCCTTGATTTTCAAGTAGGTCCCTGGAGGCTCTGATAGATGCTAGTGCAAGGCTACATGATATTTAGTGGCATCCTCTCAGTCATGGGCGGCTAATCTCCCTGGTTATAGCACAATCCCCTACTGCTTAGGCCACTCTATCGGGTCTTCAAACACCCCCTCTCTGTGCCCTTCCAAGTTTACCCAAGCTAGTTCCTTCACTCTGTCTCTCACAGTTGCCGTTTGTTTGGATGCATACTTGAAAATGGCAGGGGACGGACAGTCTAACTACGACGCTGTTCCAGTCGAGGAGCAAGCAACATACCTGGATTCACCGTCGAGACTCTCGTCCCCACATTACGAGGAATCCACAGTCGACCACCCAGAGGACACTGAAGCGGACCCGAAAGAGCCTGGCTTGCAGCCTCTCGATACCTCATTGCTGTACAGGCTTCTACGTCTAGTGTTTGACATGATTGTTGCCTCCATCAGCCTGCTATTTGTCATTCTCGGTGTCTGGGCTTACAGGATCGACGGAAATCTCGCCGGCCCAAACTCCACGGGTTTCAAGCTCGTGAAAGCCGCACAATACGTCAGTAAATCCGACGCCATCCCCCTCTACCATGTACTACGATCAGTCCTCGCTAATCTACTCTTGATGGTCATGAAAGGCACCTACCATCTTCCCGGTCCTCTTCGCCGCCATTGTCGGCGGCAGCATGAAGAGCATCCCCTCCTGGTGTATCCAGACTCATTGGGGGACAACGGTCGGACTGTTGCAGCGATGTCTCGGGAGTCAGAGTATCTCGGGCGCAGTGCTCACACAGATACAGCTAGGCTTGCTAGATTTCGGCGCTATAATGATAATTTTCTTGTGGTCTTTATCGCCATTGGGTAGCCAGGCCTCTCTCAGAGTCATTTCTATCGTGGCAAGGAACTCAAGTAGTCCGCGGAACCTTACTACCATAAACACCTTCACTGCTTATCAATACGGCAATGCCGACGGTATAGCAGAAGCCCAGCGCACTGTGGTGTATCCCACCGTTGCTGTCATTATGGCGGCTCCACTCTTGGAAAAGCGCAACCAAGATCTTTGGGGCAACGTGCGCTTCCCTATGCTGGAAAATGAGCAGAGCCTGTGGGACACGACCGGTCACGAATGGACGGTCATGCCCGAGGAGAATAATCTGACATATGCATCACTGGTCGGCACCCCCGTGGGCAATCTTGCGGATGCAGGAAACACCTCTTTCACCCTGCCAGGTTCATACCTGTATATCAACTGCTCGAAGTTCGGAAAATCCAACCAGACTGACTTCACCAACTACACCTCCTCGAGTTCGCCACTTCCCGAGACTGGTGTTGACTGTGCCTGGGCAAGCATGCGCGGCGGCACCCAATACCAGATCGCCATCTCCCAACCGTGCTCAAATTTCCGGCTGCTGCCAGAGGCGAACACCACCCGGCCTGCCCGCCAGCTTCAGTTTGAGTCGCGGGTACAGGGGACTTCCAGGGCAGAGTGGACGCGCGCTGAGTGCGATCTGACCACAACATACGTCGACGCCAACGTGACCTGCACGGCCAGCGCCTCGGGCAGTTCCTCTGCCAGTACCTGTCAGGTTTCGTCGGTCCGCGCCTCGCCTACACCTCCCTACGATCGCAACTGGACCGTCTTCGATCTCAACGAGCCGTTCAGCAGCCAGCCTGTTCTAACTTTACTCTCAACGTTCTTCCCTAACGCCCAGGTTGCCGGCGGCGACCAGCCCATCCTCGTGTATCTGGAAGACCCCTACCACGCGGTGGTGAACCCTGACTCCCTACAGGGCACGTATACGGTCGGCAAAAAAGCGTTCGAGACGAGGCTGGCCCAGATCCTCAACTCCGTGCTATACATCGGTATCAATCCGTCCGCGTTTACGGGGTCCTTTGCAGAAGAGGAGGCGTTAGCGAATTCTCGAACCGTCCCAGGGGCAATCACGACCCTTGTTCACGAGGTGGTTCAGTGCAGCCGGAGCTGGCTCGGCGTGCTGCTGGCTGCGTCGCTGGCGCTCTTCCTCTGCGCCATCGCCGGCGCTGTCTTGCGCTTTTGCACCCTTGCACCCGACGTACTGGGGTCAATCGCCGTGGCGTTCTTGCGCAATCGCATCCCCGATCTCGTCGGGTCCTCCACGTGGTCGGCGGATGAGTGGGTACGGCATACCCGCGACACGCGATTGTACTTGGGCGATGTGGAGGCCGAGGCCGAGGCAGGCTGCATTGCTCTGGCGACCTCGCCAGAGGATGTGCAGGTCCCCCTAGTAAAGAACAGACTTTACAAGTAAGAGGGCGCTCTGCCAATATCTTATGTACTAGATAGAAATGTACAGAGCTTGGTAAGAATAAGGTAAAGACATGCTTTGCGTTCACACTGCCTGGGCTCCTATGATCTGGCCTAAACGGAAATAAACTGCCCGGTGAGGTACGGTTTCTTCATCGTAACACAAAGTATCTTGATAAACAGACATGGGGATTACCTTCGAGTATCGCAGCTATGGTATCTCATATAGTATCAAGTTCTGTAGAGCCGAACAGTAGACTATTGTCACTTATAGATGGGAAGACTAAAGTAAAATATGCTTCGGGATCACCCTGTTCACTTCTTGAGATCAACCGCATCTGGGGAAAGCAAAAGTCCAAGTATTAGTACATAAGACAACTAAGATACAAAGTAAGAACCAGCGAATGAGAACCCAATGATTTTTTAGGTCAGCCCTTATAATTACAGGTGTGTGGTTGGAAAAAGAAGCGCAAGGCTGCGAACCTCCAATTACCTTAGTCTCCCATGACTTCAGCTCTGCTTACCTTCTTTTCCTAGGCTATTTATTATAAAACCTGACATAGCAAAGCCTGCTTTAATCTCCATCTGGAGCCCTTACAAGATTTGTGCTGTCAAAATGCGACCGAGAAGCCGCGATGATTTTGTGATTGTGATTATGTGCGGCCTCTCTTTTGAGACGGAAGCGGTCGAAGGCCTGTTTCATTCAAATCTATCATCAGCTTGAGAATACTACAACAAATAAAAGATGATAGAAATGGATATATAAATGGATATTTTGGTAAGCATGATATGGTCCTGTGTTATATAGCTAAATAGATAAGGGTAGTATAATTGGTGTTCCAGTCTGCTAGTCACTTATATAAGTATCACATTTGCTTTGGTGGTTGGTATATGCGGAGGTGTTTTACTGTCTTAGCGATAGAATATGACTTTGGCTGACATGTCCTGCGGGCTGAATTATTCTTCTGGCTCCAGTCTGACACTGTCATACTAACTTCTGACCCCGTCGCGCGTGGGTGCCCGCTAGGCTGCTGCATTCTAGGATGGAGGTGGCATCTGTGGCTGAAGGGGCTGTGTCGGTCAACATTGATTCCATGGTACCTTCTGCCCATCCACGAGAAGGCATCCTGATATTTGTTTCTGCCTGGGGAGGGCCATTCTCTGGTTGCAGTGGCTAAACACTCTGCACTCTTATTCCATATCTCATCGTGTCTTCAGCCCTAGACTATATTCCAGCTTCCAGTCTCTTTTTGGATCTCATAAATTTTCCATTCTTCTTCGTCTTCTATCGTTGTTTTCATGCTTCTGGATGTTAATCTTACATCTATGGTCGTCGAGTATGTAATATGTATTATGCCTTAGAGAGTGTTCTATCCTATGTCCTAGATCTACACGCTGATACTTTCATTATGTCTACTGTTAATGACGATAAGTTACTTTGTATATCCAATACTGGTACTATTCAACATACACAAATAGGATATCTTACCCCAAGATGCACTTTTTCCAGTCGTAGATACGGTTACTTGGCTAAGATAGCATAATGGGTGCCCTGTAGTCTCAAAGAGGCAAAGGATGATCTTCTAGGCTGCTCTGATCAGAAGTGCGAAAGCCTAGACTTGCTATTTAGCTGTCTATGCTGCAACCCCGTCTGATGTAAGCGCTAATTTGAGATATGGCGGGCGCCTTACAATGAGAGTGAAAGTCATCATTTCACAATACAAGTTCAAAGTCCTAGAATACTGTGGAGCCTACCTTTCTCTACCCTCGCTATCTCTCCGGTGAGAAGTCTGCCGAGCTTGTCTCAATGCTATACTTATATAAACGTTCAGTATATAAGCGGTTAACTCTTATGACCTGACGGGTAGGTTAAGGTATATCGGTTAGGTATAACCACTCTACTGTCAGCCGTATTTTTTAACCGTCACCATTAACCTGACCTGGCCGTTAGCCACTCTTATAGGAAGATAAAAAGTTGAGTTCTTTAGCACAGCTCTATACCAGATGAGATAGACTCACTTACTATCATAACAAAGATAATCTAAGTTTTTTGTTAATCTTTAAACTGTTCAAGTAATCTTGTTTTTCTTGAATCATCTTAAAATTTTTATAATGATAGGATTATATGTAAGTGCCCTACCAATGATTATCAAAGAAAGTAGTATATAAAAAGGATGTTCTTGGGTCTCTTGATGAAGTAAGGATATAGAGGAAGATATAGGATCTTAAGATGAAATTTGGTAGCGTAACTATATGATAGAAGAGAATAAACAGAGATTAGAATCATTATTTTTTCATGAACTCACGTGTGTGCTTAATTAGGGCATATAAGCATAGTTATTATAATATATAAGCATAGTTATTATAATGGACATAATAATTTAGTAGTAATGTGAAGTAAAATATATAACTAGAACGCCCCCGTTTGAAGGTACCCCTATGTTCTTGAGGAGATATTAAAGGTCTCGCAGCTCGTGAAGAAGATCACGCGAAAGTATTTCAGTGTGGCGGCCCTTGCATCCAAGGGCGGCCCGCGTTCTGGAGAGCTCCTTGGTGTGGGCGCAGGGATGGCTGCGCGAACCACGTTTGCGCCGTTTCCGGGTTTCTCTGCGGACTATCCGCACACCCGCACAGATTCTAGAACTAGCGCGGCGGTTGCGGAGCGGACTGGTATTGTTATTCAGAGGAACTTTGATTGTTGATATTTGGAAACTTGAGGGTTATATGTACAAGATAGACATCAGATTGATCGAAAATCAATCTGCTTGGTGCCAAAATAAATTCCGTATACGAAGCTCTCTTGTTGTTTATTTGGTCGATGCTCGATTCACAACAACTGCAAATCTGTGGAGCGGATATGACATCCTATATCAAGCTGAGACTCTAGTTTACTGGATTGTATTATTGTACTATTCAGTAATCTCTATAGCCCTTGTCTGGCAATGCTAAATAATCAGTGGTGTCTTTTCCTGGGTCCTCCCTAATCGAAAAGCCATTGCCCAGATACTGGAAACGATTATTGCTGAAGTAGGTGTATTCCCAATCTTCATAGCGAATATCATCCATCAAATGGAACCAGTGAACACGACTTCCAGGATGAACAGCAATAACAGGTCCATCGATCTTTCCATTCTTGAACCAACTTCTGCACGGGGTGGCCCATGCCGTTCGCTTCATGAATTCGGTGATGTGGATATCATATTCTCGGATAGCCTCAGGTTTAGGTGTCACGGCTTTGATACACTGGGATTGGATTTTCTTCATAAAGTTGATCATGTACTTAGTCGAATGCTCCACGATCGGCAGTACACTGCCATGGCCGATAGGAGCATTTGGTCCGAGGAACACTGCACAGGTCAGTACCTTCTAATGTATACTCAGAGAGAGGGCGGGGTGAGGGTAACCAACTGAAGTAGTTGGGGAAATTTGCAGCCGCCAATGAGAGATATGCCGTCGGCTTCTCCTTCCATTGCTCAGTCAGACGCTTGCCATCACGGCCAACCAAGTCGAAACGCGGTGCAAAGGACATGTCAAATCCAGTGGCGCATATAAAGGAATCTACCTTAAGAACCTCCCCAGTGGATAGAACAATCCCCTCCGGCACTACCTTGGAAATATTATCAGTTACCACTCGGACATTCTCTTTCGTTAATGACTCGAGATAGCCATTCCCCGGAGTTGGTCGGCGACATCCAACTGCAAAATTGGGCAACAACGCTTTCACCAATCGCGGGTCATTGCCCAGTTTCGTGGTCATATCTCTGATTGAATACTCCCGTGCCTCTGCCTGTTCTTTGCTATCGACGATAACCTGTAATCTCTTGTATTAGAGCTTCTGACGGCATTGATTGTTATAGAGCTGGGGACTTTACAAATCTGAATCTCTTGTTGAGTTCCCCTTCAATTGCTCTCCTGTACTCAAGATACTTTTCGGGATTCTCACGGAAAGTCTTCTTTTGCTCTTCGGTAACTGGGTTTTATTTGTTGAGGTTAGGGCATTTCAACATCCGAAAATTAGGTATCCTGGAGGAGAATACACACACTCAAAATTGGCGCCCCCAGGTCCCGCATGACTCTGGGCAAATCCAGCAGTAATCCAGGTGGGGGTCCGGATAAAGGTGGTTAGTGATTTAACCTCTGGATAGCGCATGTGTCAGACGAGAGCGAACAGACCGGCAGAGAGGATCCCATCATGCTTACTTGGTTGAATGGTAGGAACTATTTGCACTCCAGATGATCCACATCCTAAAACAGCGACGTTCTTTTTGTTATAATCATAGTCTTCGGGCCATGCGGCGCTGTGTATGAGATCGCCCTTGAATGAGTGTAGACCGGGAATATCAGGCCATTTCCAATTACTGGGGTCCACCGTATCAGTCAAAAGGGAGGACCAAAACAATTCCCACGTAATTGCAACAAAAGAGTGAAGGACCCACTTGAGAACACCACAGCCATTGATGAGGATATGCGCCCAGTCACAAACAATCTCCCTGGTCGTGTTATTTGTGATCTTCAAGTTCCAGATACCCTTCTCCTCGTCCCAGACGGCCCCAGTCACCAAATGGTCGAGGCGAATATACTTGTACAAGTCATACTTGATGGCGATATTCTTGAAGTACTTGAAAATCTCCCCCGCTTGGGAGTAGCTGTACTGGAGTTAGTTGGGGTTTACGGTCAACTGAGATCAAAGCTGATTTCGTGTGCCATCTTACAAGGTGGACCACTCTGGATTGGGTTCCCAGGAGTACTGATAGTTATGCGAGGGAATATCGCAAGCACATCCTGGGTATCTAAAGGCAGTCAGGTAAGATATTACGATTGAAGTTTTTGAGGTACAATTCACCAGACACTGACCTGTTCTCAAACCACGTTCCTCCAATATCCTTATTCTTTTCGTAAAGTTGCAGCTGATAGTTTTGCATATGCAGTTCCATGTGCCGCGCGAGATTCAGTCCACTGGCCCCGGCCCCGATCATTATCACTCGGAGCTTTCTCGGTGTGCCCAGCGTCTCCTCTTTGATAGAATATGGTGCGCTGGAGGCGGCGCCATTGGTATGCAGGTCAGTCGTGTCGTGTGTCATGGTGGTATCGGTAACTGATTGAAAGCCAAAGCCAAGTATGCTCTTGATTTCCTGCGTGGATCTGTTTGTTATTAATATTCTGGTATTGAGAGAAGCATGATAAAGCTCAAATTTACCGCAGGCCCCCGCGTAGTGCGTCCGTCCTCGGCTTATCCCTATCCGGGGATCACTTTATGCACCATTTGTTTCTCCCTCTTCCGGGGAAGTTGAATGGATCCGCTGGTAGAAGATTTGAATGACCTTGCTTTTGCTTATGCATCCGACGTTCGAGATGATCTCATGTTTTAACATACGTGGAGTCGATGGTGGCAACGTGGAGGCTCTCTTGGCTACAGCTCTTCCATCAGTTGTACCTCATATTTCATAGCAACGATTCTCATAAAAAAGCAAGCATCTGAGCAAATGATGAGCATTTAGCCGTCGATAATCAACATTCCATTATAATAATACACCCCGAAAGACATATTTTTGGTATTGCATCTCTAGCTAGTATTTGCTTCGCCCAAGACCTTACAAGGAATATTTATATTATGGATAGCGCCTCGAAATCGGCGATGCCTTAATACTTGTACTTTTGGATTGTAATCTAATTACCTAGTTTGTCATAATTACTGGTTCTCTGCAGCTAGGTTGCGTTTCACTTCTTCTGCCAATTGTATAACATCAATCTCTGCCGGCAAAGGGTTGTTATTCCACAGCGCAACGTCGGCACTAACGTCAAACAACCCCTTCACCACGTCAACACTATTTCCTAGTTGGATCGACGCTTTACAATGGCTTTGAGACTGACGGGTTGCACCTTGTGCGAAGATCCCGGAAGCAAGCACCAACTCCTTCTCTTTTAACTTGAGGAGGTTGTTCCCGCTAAGGAGGTATCCAAAGACTGCTGTGTCAGCATAGTAGGCTTGCAGCTTTTTAGTACCCTGTTCGAATTCATTCCAGCATGCGAGCAGACTTACCGTACTCCGGAAAATACTGTTGTAGCATCTGGCCCACCTCACTATTCCCAACTCCGCGGTAGACCCTCTTGAATGAAGCCCGCCCTTCAGCCGTGTAATCGACCTTATCAAAGCCTAGTCTAATCTCGTAAGTTAGTATGGGCATCGTCGACTGTACTAAATATCAGTTAAGACATACCTTTCCTGGCTAGGGACTTGGCTGATGCCCCGGCTTCGCAATTCACCAACTAGGCCAAACACGGCCGGCATGCAAGATGGAAATCCGACGAATGGTACGATAATCGCAAGGGCTTCTCGAACAATGATGAAAGTTTCCTTTACAAATGCTTCGGCCTCATTCTTTGTCGCATCGCGAAATAAGACAGATACAGTGTCACCACGTCGTTGCGCACATAACATTGTGCTCTAGGATCGGTTAACCACAACAACAACAATACGGCCCGAATGGGGGTGACTGTACTAAAAGTGCAACGGCGAACCCATTGTGTGTAGCCGGCTCAAGCTGATGAACTCGCTCAATCCACGCCAGAGCGCGAGTACTGTCGTACGCCGCCGCACCTGTGGCAATGTTGGCGTTGGTAAACTTTGCGGCAAAATCACTCATTCTGGGCGGGCAGTAGAAAACAGAAAATTATGGCGACAGCAAAGGCAAAATAACGATAAGAAGGAGAGGTTGTAAGATAATCACGGTTATAACCCCTGTTTGAGCTAGCATCCTCCGCTGTACATGATCCCCGGCAATCAATCAATATCCACGGGACGCACAGGATCCCCGGGATAACTTTCCTTCCACCAGTAGCCCACGCCCGAATACACGCCACCGGCCCACATATAGACGAAAATGAATCACGATATTTTGAACAGAAATAAAGGCCCAAATATGACCAGTATCTGCGACTCCCTGTCTTTCCAATCGTGACCACCATGACTATGGCACAACCAGCCCCTACACTTGAGCTCGGATCTGAGGCTCGAGGCTTTCGCAAATATGTGCCTCATCCAGGTCATCCTCGTGTCGCTGGACTTGATCAGCCAGATGTCGAGACCTATTCAAATAAGATAGCAAGCTGCCCAGAAGTAGTAGGCGTCTTTGATCAATGGAAAGCGCAGCTCAACGAGCCATTTTACGGCATCACGACTGATGGACAACGTAAGGAGGGGCTTTTCGGGATAGATGATGAAGGCGCCCCTGTTGAAAAAATGGTAAGCTAGTGAAGAAGCTCAATGGTGAGGAATATATTGACTGACAGTTGATTAGGTCGCTGCGGCCAAGAAAATTCAGACTGTTCTTTCGGAGGAAGAGCTACGTTTGGTGAGCCACGAGATTGATTCGAATGACTGGTACACCGTCTCTCAATGAATTCAATTACCTTTCCTGACCCATACTAGGAGAAAATGGTCTAATCCAGAAGTGGTGATTTTCAAATATGGCGTCCGACTTCACACGCTCTGTCCACAAAAGATTCATGCAATCCTAAAACTAGTAGAGGCTAGTTTGAGCGAAGCCGGATATGGCAAGGTCGTTGCCGCAATGGAAGTAAATCATTTCCTCGGAGAACTGGTCAATGGAGCTCTTATTCTGAATCGACACAGCTATCAGTAAATACTTCTTTCTTCTATATCATCCTTTATTATCGGTGAGATACTGATGATCACAGATTCGCCTTGTACGGAGTACCTTCAACCACTGAGCCTTGGGGATTTTCCCTAACTGGCCACCATATGTGTTTGAATATCTTCATTATGGGGAAACAGATGACGATCAGTCCAGTCTTTATCGGTGCTGAGCCAAATGTATGTTCAGCGGTTTGATTATTTGACGTATGCTCAGCCAGTGATTACAGGAAATCGATGCGGGCCCGCAGACTGGTTTGACCGTCTGCGTCGACGAAGGAACTTACGCATTACAACTGATGCAGACCCTACCTGACCAGCTAAAGCAAAAGGCCCAAATCTACAGTGAGCTGTATTCGGAGAAGATGCCTCCGGGCCGATGGAACCCATATGATCAGGTATTCCTATATCTAAGGCGCATTAGCTTACTTACTAACCCCAATGTAGAGGCATCTCGGCGGGGCATTCCAAGACAACCGTATCATCCCTTACGAAGGCATCAAAGCGATTGACATGCCCGCTGCACAGCAAAAAATCCTGCTCAAGGTCATCGCTTCGTTTCTGGTCCTCCTCCCTCCTGGGCCCTTTGACGCTCGCATGCTTCAAGTCAAGAAGGCTCTGAATGAGACCTACTTCTCCTGGATTGGAGATTTTGGTGATGAGGACCCATTTTACTATCGTATTCAGAGTCCAGTCATTATGCTGGAATTCGACCACCATTCGGGGGTTTTCCTGCTCAATACCGCACCAGCTAAGCATCACGTTCATACCATCATAAGGACGCCGAACGGGAATGATTATGGAAGGGAGTTGTTGAAGCAGTTTCGTGGGAACATGTCGGTTTAAGAGCTGGATCAGCTGCCACTCGGACGTAGCCGATTACGTGCGGTGGTAGTGCTTTTGATATAGATCAAGCTGCATAAGGTACGAACCTTGCAGACCATCGAGTCATGATGACCTTATCTAGTGCAGATATATTACAGCATGCATACAGAATATGAAATTCTATCTTATGGTTCATTAAATCTAGTAGTACGATTAATCCTGGGATTTTAGATAGCTGAAGTCAATCGCCATTGTTCTTTGGAGGGCTGACCCTGAATGTTGCAGGTGCATCTTTCGCTGTTGAACCTAGAACAATTCTCTACCACGAGGCATCAGGGTCCGAAGAACTGAAATTGCCGATTGCTTGTTCTGCTCCATGTGCGGTACGGTGCCATCCAACATGGTGTAGTTAACGGACAACCTTCGAAGGATCCTAGAGTTCTCATGTTCCGCATCTGAACTGGTGCCGCTCTTAGGTTGCTTTGGAGTAGTCGTACCTCTTATTCTCAATGGTGTATGAGATGCATACTATCTTGGGGGGTTCGTCACCCTATTTTCATGATTATACGACTCCGGTGACGGATGAATTTGGCATAGTATACTTTCGTAGACGATACAAATCTATGGGCAACACGGAGTTGCTATGAAGCAAGCGTTGAAAAGGACTATCGTCATTTTACTTCGTAGAATCGAAACTGAAACGTCCTGTCTTTTATTCCGCTATGGAAGCTCTAAATAAACACTGTTGCAATCTTGTCTTGTGCATCCTGCATGCAGTCAAACCCATAAGTCATTTTGTGGACATCTATATCCATCACCTTATCTGGCACCTTTCCTGGGGTTCCGGTCTTAATTGCTGCAAACGCACGATCGCGTTCTTCGCGTGCCTTACCAGCTCCAAGATGAAGTTCGCGAGATGACTCCGCTGCCAGAGCAACGAGAGTTTCTGCCCGTTGCTTCCTCGCCTCTTGGTAAGCCATGAGAGCTTTGTTGATGTTTTCATGGGATGCATCTGGTAGAGCTGCTAGAAATATGGAAAGAACGGCACCATCTTCAACTGCTTGCGCCGCTCCCTGGCCCAAATGGGGGAGGGTTGGATGGCAGGCGTCCCCGACCAGAGCGAAAGACCCCAGAACCCAGGTGGGCAGTGGATCGTGGACGTTCAACTTCCACTCAACAATCTCCTCATCTGGCGCGAGATCCAGCATACGTAGGACGAGAGGGCAAAAGTCGCCATACACATCCATCATCGCTTTCTTGGATCCCTTGGTTGTATAAGTGGCCGAGGCTGCTGCCGCGAAATTGACATCAGGCTGCGTGGTCGAAATGTTGTAGATGCTCCGTTGGGAGATAGGGTAGGCGACGATATGGCGTTTCTCTCCAATCCACCGGATAGTCTGGTCTCCATCTAGCAGAGCCAGAATCGCTGGGTCATGCTGCATCTGCTCCCGCGTTAACATGATCCGGTACGCAGCCTGCCCAGTTTCTTTGACTCCTGCCTCCACATTCAGCTCCTTGAGCAAGCTCTGTCGAGTCTTGGATTTGACACCATCCGCTCCGATTAAGATGTCACATTGCATTTGATACGACTTTTCCTCACCAGTATTCGTCACGGAGAATGTTGGTCTGCCCATGAAATCGACAGCATCGACGGTGGAGGAAAAGCTGAATTGGACTCCGTTCCTTACACATGCGTCGTACAAGCTATTGACCAAGGTCGCCCTGTGGCCTCCGGTCTGCCTGGTACCATATTCAGTCTCGAGATTTCTACAATCCACAAGCCCCATTATCTTTCCGGAAGCACCCTCTGCCTGCTAGTCAGCGAGATTGGTGTGTGCTGGCGTTCTAGAGGAGCATACCTCGGATGCTATAATAATCCGTCGCTATTCCATCTGCTGCGATCTCATCCCAGACCCCAAGACCTTTCAAAATTCGAGCCATATTGGGCGCCATTTGAATCCCCGCGCCGACGAACCCTAGGGCCGGTGCGTTTTCATAGACCCAGACGTTTTGGAATCCTTGTTTTACCAAAGCGAGACCTGTGGTAAGGCCACCAATCCCCGCACCAATGATGCATATCTGCAGGTTCTGAATGGCTGGCTTCATCGTGAGCGCGGTGGGTATGTAAGCGGAGCCAATTTCTGTGGAGGTCAGAGGTCAGATTTGAGCCTGCCCTCGTTATCCTGCGTTCAATATGTATTTCATTGGTAGCGGAACACCGCACGGATCTGGAGGTGAAGGGGATACAACGCATTTGGGGTCTTCAAAGTCCGATCCGCGGCAGTCATGGCAAACCGTTCCCCGGAATATTTCCAGGAAGGAACGGGAGCCGCGGTCCGGGCGATGAACACATCCCTGAGCGTCTCCTCTCCGGGCTTTCCTACCTGCGGAGAATGGAACCAATCAGTTACTTGGAGGCTGAGATGCTAAGTGGTTCGAGGTTGGTTCCCCGGCACATCGGGCTAAGGGCAATGCTTAAATTCGTAGTGTCCGTTACTTTCGCTTGTTCGCCCCGGCGTGATCAGTTGCCGACACGTCAAGTTCAGTCCTCATTCCCCATTGCGGTCTCTCTTCCTACAGCCCACCATGCCGGTCTCCTCGTCCTACTCGTCGATAACCATTCCCGATGTCGATATCTGGGAATTTTTGTTCGAACGTGCCGACAGGCCATTTCCCGATGATAAGGGCATGTTCTCTCGCGGTGCTGTTCCCCACCGACAGGTCCCTAGAGACTTACGAGTACTGCAGTTATCTACACCGATGCGGCCACTCGGCGCTGCTACACGTACCAGGACGTGAAAGACAAGGCAATCGCTTTCGGTCGTGGTCTGCGGGCTACGTATGATTGGCAAAAGCGTGATGTACTCGCCTTGTACACCCCCAACAGCATCGATACACCGATCGTGATATGGGGTGCCCACTGGGCAGCCGGTGTTGTGTCTCCAGCCAATCCCGCCTACAACGTCAATGGATTTGCATTTTAGCTGAAGAATTCCGGGGCCAAGGCCTTGATCACCCAGGTTGCCCATCTCAAGGTTGCCAGAGCCGCCGCCAAGAAAATGGACATCCCTGAATCTCGCATCCTCCTGATTGGGGATGCGCGAGATCCCAAGGCGGAGATCAAGCACCTCACGTCCATTTTCTACAGCTCGGGCAACTTTGGAAGGGCTAGAATCAATCCTAAGCAAGACCTGGCATTCTTGGTCTATTCTTCAGGAACTACCGGGTTGCCCAAAGGGGTCATACTATCACATCGAAATATTGTCGCCAACACCTTGCAGATCTACTAGGGCCATTACTATCATTCAGTACCTCAATCTCCGGCGAAAGTCGTAGGATCCTAACAGCTGTATAATAACATTAACAAGTCAAATGACGAAAACAAAGTCAAACACGACGAAGTACGTCTGCATGAGACGAGCTCCCCTGTATTTACTTTCACACCCCAAGTAATAGCATCCGGGGTCGGTTCAACATTTCTGAATCACAGCGACATCCAGGAGAGTAACTATTTCCACATTCAAGCACCGAGAATGTGACGGTGGAACAAGTTCGTCCGCAGGCGCTTTCCCCACACGACAAAAGCCAAAGAGGAAAGTTGAACGGTCACCTGGATGGCCCCCAGGGTCAGAAATACTACTAAGGGGCCGCTAGCCTTGAGCCAGTCATTGATGAACCAATTCCAGACCCATGTGATGACCGATCGCAGGAAAGTGATGCTGACCATCACTTCCGCGGAGAAGTTGGGATAACAGTCCAGGGGATAAGACATACCCATGTTGGCACCAATTTGATTGCTCACAGTCAGGATCCCAAAACCAACGATGGGCCCCATGTAGTGTGTTTGGTAGTGCAAGCAGAGCGCGACCACGATCGATCCCGCAGCGCTCGCAGCAGCGGCCACTGGCAGAGAAAAAAGGCGCATCTCAGGCTCCCGGACGCCACCGTTGCGTCGAACCGAGTAATTTACGATCTTGTCCGCAATATAGCTGCAGAAGAAAGTTGCGAGCAAGGATCCAACAAAGGGAGAGAGGAAGACAAGGCCCAAGCCAATAGAGTCAAAGTAGTATGGGCTGGCCACGCGAGCCCTGAGTCAGTCGATGTCCTCATAACCGTTGCAGAACAGTGGACCCGGAGTAAGGAGACTTACGGTAGACCGAAAATTTGCGCAACTGTAGCAGCCAAGGTGGTGAGGCTGATGAACGATAGACCGTAAACCGCACTAGCCCAGATGACGATGGGGTTGAGGCAATACAAGAAGGACCGATAGACCATTCCGCGAACGTCAACTGTCGGGTTGCCCCCAGGCCAGACCGATAATCCACGGATATAAGACCGTTTCTTCAGTCGCTCCACATGCCCCACGCTTTCCACATGAGCCGTGTTGTCTTTACCTGCCTCTGCCGGAACGATTTTGGGACGATCATGATAATACATGGTCTCCGGCATGGTAAAGAAGAGCGTAATTAGGCTTGCACCTAAGCCGATAGCCAGGATCCAGAACGACCATGCTGGTCCGAGACTCTGGATGATAAACGAAGACAGCATGGGACCTATCTGGGCCGCTATGAGGACGAAGAGTCCGTAGAAGGCAATTGTCGATCCTTGTTGATGAACAAAAAAGATGTCTGCAATGGTGGTTGGTGCGATGGAGTAAATAGGCGACTGACCCAGGCCCATGATGATTCTGGCGACCAGGAAGGAGGTATAAGTGGTTCGAGTGGCGAATCCCTGCCAGATCAGACACCCGCACATCACCGCCGCCGTGATGAGGTACGTGGGACGGCGTCCAAACCTCACAAGAAAAGGCCTAGCCAGCGCTTGAAGTCAGTCTGTCTCCTTAAACAGAAAGATGGTTGCTAAGCCCTGCAAATTCGCTACTTACATCCAATAAAAACAGCCCACTCCGGTGCAGATGAGGTTTGCAGCCACGGCAATATTAACTTTCTGGAAGGATGCGTCATATTGCTCCGTCAGTTGGATAATACCTGTAGTCGTTTAGCAGAGTACGCAACCAATCTAGCCAGGGAGAGGCCGTACCAGATGCAATGATCGGGCCGGTAATACCACCCAGGAAACTATAAATGCAGGCATTGGCAAAGACCATGGCCTTTTTCACTGGAGACCACGATAGAGGATCATTTGGGTCTGTCAACGATGGCTGAGGAATTAACAGAATACGCTGACCATCGCGTTCGATGTGTTTCAGGTGCTCGAAATTGGACGATGGCCCTGTGGAATCGAAGAGTATCTCCGTTCCTGGCACTGCCTCAACTTCTTCGGTCTTCTTCGCCTGGGAGAAGTCCTCAGTACGGGGCGACATGGCTGAGAAGAATATTTAGAGAGGGAGAAACGGAGATTCTAGGAAAGAAATAAGCAACAGGGAAGCTCTTAGGAGGTCTTCGGCTTTCATGTCCCTATCCAGACGCTTCACGCTCGCATGTCATTGGCCACAGCTTACCCCGGGATATCCCCAGTCTGCTGCGGGGATATCCGCGGTTCCCGGGAAGCACGAGGTCAGGATCCGGGGTACGCACTGAGGCCTGGGGGTGCAAGCAGAGGTCCACGGAAATCCACACAATTATAATAAACCCCCGGCTTGGTGCAGTGTCTGCGGCCCGTGAGTTCAGCACACATACAACAACAAAGCAAGATCGGAAAAGACAAGATGCCAGCCCTAGTCGAAGAGTCGCTCGATGCGCCTGTCCTCATCATTGGGGGCGGGCCTGTCGGTCTCACAACCGCCCTTCTCCTCGCCCGATATGGTGTTCGGAGCACTGTTGTGGAGCGCTATCCAGGACGGCTGGGCCAGCCCAAGGCCCATGCCGTCAACCCTCGCTCCCTCGAGATCCTCCGACAGGCTGGTCTTGATACGGTCACTCTTCGCGAAGTCGCCTCCCGTCCTCGCGAGGCAGATTTGGTCCGCTTCGGGCTGTCACCCCTAGGCCTGGAGCTGGGCACTCTTCCATTTGAGCGGCAAGGAGAAGAGAACAAGGCCATTACTCCCGAACCGTTATTCAACATCCCGCAGCCCGAGCTCGAAGAATGGTTGGCGGAGGCGATCTCCAAAAACAAGCTCGTCACCCTCAGACGCGGATTTCAGTGGGATACGTGCACTAACCCACCGGAAGCGTCCGCCAGTGTGGTTTCTCGTGTGATTGAGAGGGCAACCAAGCGCGAAATCACGATTACCAGCAAGTATCTTTTGGTCTGTGATGGTGCCCGTTCCAAATCAAGACTAAAGCTGGAAATCCCCTTCTCCGTGATCCCTAATGGGCCTGCGACAGAATCCCACCACGTTACCATACACTTCAAGGCCGACCTGACTCATCTAAAATCTGGCATTATATGGTACGTATTTGGGTCAAAACAACAAGGTGCTTTCCTTGCCTATGACCGGTCCAATAGCTGGGTGTATGTGACCAACTGGGATGGCCAGGAGTCTTCAAAGGCAAAATTTACGAACGAGTACTGCAAGCAGATGGTCAATGAGGCCATGGGTAAAGAATTTCCTTTTGAAATCTCCTCTATCACGCTTTGGACCACTCACCCCCGGATTGCGGACTTTTATCAGTCAAAGAAAGAGCCGCGGGCATTCCTGTTAGGTGATGCAGCTCACGCATTCCCGCCCACGGGAGGTCTCGGTGTGAACACCGGAATTGCAGACGCCCAGAATCTCGCCTGGAAGATATATGCAGTCGAGAAGGGATGGGCCGATCAGAGCCTACTGGAGACCTACAACGACGAGCGGAGGCCAGTGGCCATGGCAAACGCCCGGCAAAGCGCGAAGAATCAAAAGACCGTCTACAGATTCTTCTCTGCACGACCCGAAGGAGCGACGGACGAGGAATTGGAGAAGAACACGGAATGGCGCAACCAATTTGCAGTCGACATTGCAAATGACGCAGAGCACTTTGATTCCATCAATCTGCAACTCGGCTATATCTACGGCGGCAAGGCATGGGATAATGTGCCATGCAATAAGTTCACTCCACGCTGTGTCCCCGGAATGAGATTGCCTCACGCGTGGGTCTCCGAAAAGGGCCAAGAGCGCTCTGCTTTGGACCTCGTGGATGGCATGGGCTTCACCGTCCTAGGCTCAGCTGACTTCTTGCCCGCGTCGGGATCCAGGATCATTGATAGCGAAACATCGATCGAAGTCGAAGTTCGACGACTGGGCCAGGATTTCTCCTCCGATGACAAGGTATGGCTTGACATGACGGGCCTCTCGGGTCAGGGCAAGGGGGTGTTAATCAGGCCAGATCAACATGTTCTCGGTGAGGTGGAATCCGCACAGGATATCACAGACCTACTATTTCACTTCTTACAGCACTCTGAAACATCTCGGAATAGCCTTTAAGTTATCTTTTCCTGTTTCTGGGTTGTACTCTCATGTCCCAGACTAGATGACTATAAAGAAATGAACAATGTGCTACCATACAACCATGTAAACTGGAACCGGGGTACTGCATCGCATTTTGCTTACTTGAACTCTTTAGAATCCTTAATATATCATCGGGGCTGTGATGCAGACTTCAAAGGATCTGTGACAGATTCTGCAACTTGCAACATTTGCATGAGTATCCCCTCCCCCTGTCCCACTTGGGCTGCAAAAAAATCAGACTTTAGATGGTGTATGCCTGCTCGGAGATATTCGACGTCTGCCGTAGCGGAAAGGCGTTGGGGCTCTTTAAGAATATGCATGAAGATAGTCGAGGTTGCTGCGAGGAAATATGCCGACGGTGCACCCAGCATGCGGATTTCCTGGGTATCCGAGACGACCGACCGATTATTCGATGTCCTGATCAGAGATCGGGCAGACGCAACACAGATAGCCTCACTATGTTGAAGACGGCGATACTTGTCAGTGAGGACCGTTTCATCTCCTTGGTGGCAGAGAAGCATAGAAGTCCAGTGTAATGTTCGCATTACATGAAAGAATTGTACATGTAACCACGTGACATGATGTCGCAATAGAACAGGTGCGATATTCTCCTGTTCTGGCCGGAACTCGAGCGGGATTGCATCGCGCCAGGCAATTAGTTGGCTGTCCAAGTCTGCCAGGCAAGAGAGGCGCTCTTTTGCCGCTTTCTCGCGACCAATAATGTCCGCAATCTGGTTTACCAGACAAGCAAGGGTAACATGCCAGGTATAGATCATGGTGCTTGGTAGCGGTTCACAATTGTGTGGGCACTCCTGAATGGTCAGAGGCTCTAATCTGGTATCTGTTTTATCAGATGATGTTGCTGTCGGCCGACCCTCGCTCAATGACAAAAAGGCATCCAGGCTAAAGCCTATCCACCATAACCGTGCCCGCAGTCGGGCCAAATCTTCACTCAGCTGGAGATCACTGGGTGTGTGCCGGTGCAGGCCGATTGATTCTGCCACCCGTAGCGCCGTGCCGCAGGTTGACCATGCAATGCCCAACTTGCCTTGCTGGGTGAAGTATAGTGTGTGAAGAAGAATGACTTGCACGGAACCTGTATATGGATGGGCCAGGATATAGTCCATCCGTGACCACGCTCGCTGATGTAAAGCCGAAATTTTCTGCTGCATCTCCTCTGTGGGGGCGTTGGGATGTGCTGTTGCACCAATTGCGACCATAATACAGATACACAAAAACTGAACCGGGTCCGGCGGGCTATGGCAGTCTTCATACCATTGGGTCCATGAGTGCCGTAGCTCCAGGCTGACAATAGGGTACCGCAAGTAGACACCTGTAAAAAAGGACTCCACTCCATGTTCCACTAAACCACGGTCTGGAAGGTCTTGAGGCTCTATTCGTGGGGCGGGGTACATGTTGGCTTCATCCATGTAGGTAATCCCTTGTATAAGATATCGGAGAAGGCTATGCTCCCCAAGCTCCGGCGACTGATTCTTGGCATATATCAGACATGATGACAAGGTCCCGCCGATAGAATTCAATCCTTGATACCTGCTCTCACAGAGATCCTTCCGCAGAAATAGTCCAGGGAGAAGGGATGGGGATCTTATGGAAGGAAGGCCATCCTTCAAGAAGTGCACCCCTGCCACTTTCGGCGGTCTCACTGTGAAGGAAATGGGACGAGGTCCTCTCTTGGCTTCTTCCGACGCAGCTTGAGCCGGCAGCCGCTCCTGGGAGTCCGGGAACATGGTGTTGAATTGCGGAAACTCGGCCACGATCGAGTCGGTCACGTCGGGCATGGTGGTCGAGCCCGCAAAGTCGAAGACATTTGGCATGTACAGGTTGGAATCCCAAGGATCGGATAATGATAGAAGCCCCCCGGTCCCAGATAGTGGGTCCTGGACGTCTAGGGATAGATCTGGTGTGGCTTCCAAGTCATGATCATGCGGGGCAGATTGCACCCGCCGGTCACCTTCAACTGATGCAACCGTAGGTGTTAGCCGCGACAGCTGGGGCGATTCCACCCCTCTCTCGACGTGGGTCTCTTCCCCTCGGCTTTCAGATCGTCTAGTCTCACTCCTAGCTGTAAGGGAAGCAAGGTGTCGGCCCCGATTCGCTCTCTGCGCCCGGGAGACGATTGGCGGAGAATCGGTGCATGTTGTGCGATAGAGGAGGCAGTTCATGCAGGGTCTCTGACCCGCACTACACTTAATCTTTTTCGGTCAATCACAGTCAGCAATGGGATGCTTTGAGGGTTCCCCCGGGGACTATACATGCCCGCTTTCTTCGGCAAGGGTCGCAGGCGCGAGAGACGCGTTTGTGTTGCCTTGCATAGACCCTTCGCCCTGCGTCCAAGCTGGCGGAGTGCTGTTCCGCTTCACCACTACTCATGGTTGATTCCAGCTCGTCGTACAATCGAAGTGTGTGAAAGAACTTCCCCGGACACGCCCCACGGGGTAATAAGCCTTTCCGGGGGTGGGGGCTGGATTATGGGGATTCGGCACCTCGGCACCTCGGATATGAGTTCTCCATGTTTTTGCGGGGGTGATTATTGTACTACTTGACGTGTTATCCGCCAGCTACAGCAATCGTCTTCAGGATACACTAGATTTTTTAGGCCTCGGCTTCCCCCTGGCCGTCAATGTGGGCGATTTCAACCTAAAATCGAGACCTGTGGGCATTTCCAGGCCATATTATTCAGGGTCCAGACAAGGTGAAGCTTTAGATAGGCCTAGAGACAGCAAAGAAGTACTTGTAGCATCTCACGGATAAGATGACCCAGGACGGATATATTGTCTAGTAAAATCCGAGTCTGTTCCCCGGGTTAAAAGACGCGCCCGCGGAAGCGGTTCCCCTATATAACGACATCATGCGATGCATAGTTGGCCTCACGCAGCTACCTCACACTCACACCCACGGACGGAATCCCGCTGAAAACATCCATAAAAAAATATATCACAATGCCATCCTGGACTCACCTGGTTCGGTTTATTGCGGTCGAGGACAGCCAGGTCCATCTCGGCCAACTGGTGGAGACAACTCGCGACGTTGGTCGAGATAGCGTCAATGGCGTGGAAATTGCCGTTTACATAATCAACGGCTCAATCTTTGACGGCCGAGTGACAGACCAAGTAATGCATGTCAAGCAGCTTCTCTCCCCGGTCTCAACAGAAGACTGCAACTATATCCGCTGCCTGGGGCTGAACTACCTCGACCACGCAAAAGAAGCCAACCTGACTCTCCCCAGTGCCCCGATCCTCTTCACCAAACCACGAACCGCGCTAGCGGGCCCATACCCGGCGACGATCAATATTCCCAAATGTGCGCAAGACGGAACAAGTGACTACGAAGCCGAACTGTGTCTTGTTATTGGCAAGACCGGCCGTGATATTCCTGAGGAGGAAGCCTTGGATTATGTGCTCGGATATACCGCCTCAAATGACGTGTCCGCGCGAACAATGCAACTGATAACCACTCAGTGGTGCTTCTCCAAGGGCCTGGACGGAAGCTGTCCGCTGGGACCGGTCCTCGTCTCCCCTGCTGTGATTCAAGACCCCCAGTACTTGTCACTCAAGGCTATTTACAATGGAGCGACCGTCCAGGATGGTCATACGAAAGATATGATCTTCTCAATCAAGAAGCAGATCTCTTACCTCTCTCAGGGCACGACTCTGGAGGCAGGGACAATCTTTTTGACGGGGACACCGGCCGGTATTGGCTATTTCCACAACCCCAGAGTGGTCCTGGAGGATGGTGCGGAGATTTCGGTTGAGATTGAGAAGATTGGGACCTTGATTAATAGGGTTCGATATGAGAGCCACTGAATTGGGTTAGCAATAGAGTCCAGAAAGTTATAGAATCAGTCACTCCGATCATAATACACGTGCAACTGCGTTTCAATAACACTATTCAACCTAGGTTAACTTCTACATACAACTTGTCCAACCCTTCCATACTGCTTGTCGTACTAGCTATGATTTAAAGCGGATGGTGAACACGGTGTCGTAGAATAAGCAATGCATCCTAAGCAAACATATATATCAACTTCATCCATCAATCACCATCAAGCCTGTGGGCATGCTCGCCCCATTCATAACCTATTTCTTACGAGATGAAACATTGTGACTACCTATGTAATGACTTATATCATTTGAATAAATCTCACTGCTCGTCATGGTGTCAATGAAGAGTTTACCCTTGAGTTGGTTAAATATCCTTCATTTTGGTAGGTGATACCTATCGGTATATATCTACACTGAATCACGTGGGCCTCGTTCTCTCGACTGTGCGACTACGAAGAAGCAAAACAAAGGTTGGCCATACATTGAGACCATGGAAATCTCAATTCGGCAAATACTCCTGCTGTAATTCTTTCCCTCCAATGAAGGATTTCTCTGCCGACACCAAGACAGCCAGGAACCTGGCCGGCTTAGTAGACGATGGGTTTCTCCAACGATGCATCGTCCCACGCTGTACCACGGAGTCCTACAGTTCATTTGTGTCATTTCAATCTGCATTGATCTGTCATATGTATCAAAATGAACCAAGTAGAACTTACTCCTTGATAAAGCGTCTTCTTTTGCCCGGAGTCAAGCTCTAGTTCAATCTTCCCCTCAATGACAACCACTAGATCAATACTAACGGTGCGGTGCATCGGCGACTGAGATCCAGGTCCGATGTCAAGATACACAGAATTGACCCCCCCACTGATTGCCACCTTATTAGCTTGGTAACTGCAGGCGGTGGCCTCTGTGCTGTCATCTGGGGCGCGATAGAGCTTCAGATCGGCATCTTGCTCTAACGGGCTCGGCACCCGGGACCACGAGTATGTTCTGGCCAGGCGGTTTCCATAGCGCTCATGATAGATCAATTCCGGTGTGGGCAGAAAAATGCTTTTCGCAGAATCATCATGGCTTGTGATATAGCGAGTACATTGTCGGAGGCCAGCCATGGGAGCGGCCGAGACGGTGGGATCAGACATGTTGTTTGTTGTAAAGTTATAAACCAAGGTGATGTTGATTGTTATTTGGGTAAGATAGTCTACTCTACTCTATTTAATGGTCAGGTGGGAAGACGTAGGCTTTCCCCGGGCCCGCGCGTGGCCCCCGGATCCGCGGAAGAAGTAGGAATACGTAGAGGAGCGCCGAAAGGGATCTCTTTTCTGCTCCTCACAACTACTTAGATGAGACTCCAGAAATATTCGGAGACACATCCATGCGTATTATGTTTAGGTTCAACACTTTTATTTAATCCCCATCTGAGATGTGTCTGTACTAAACATGTTATCGGGACGGGTTGGCCAACATGAGGTCTGGAGTTTTGAACCGGAACCGAAACCATGCCGCGGGTTCAAGCAAAAACACCTGAAGACCCGCGGGTTTACCATCAAGTCTTTGCTTATTATGCTGAACCCCATACAGCTAGACCGGATTGGGTTAAAAATGAGTCATAATCTACAGAGCACCCTGTATACCTCGTCTGACCTAGGATGTGAAAGATACATCATATGGTCGACGTACTGGAACTCTGCTGCGCAGGTCAGTGGGTCCTAGGTTCTGCTTTTAGTGCCTTGACAATAACTATATTTTCTCGTCCAGTAGCCAACACTCAGGCTGGCGACCTTATGACTTTAGTCCATGTCTCGTACAACAGAAAGAGGATCTGAACCTCGAATTACTTCTTTCCAGGCCATGATCTTGGCCCATCAACTCAAATAAAAGTCTGTCTGACTACAATAGTCCTTTTATGTGCAACGTTGTCCTGCCCTATTAGTGATTTTAGATGTGTAGGTGATGATGAATACTAGTTAGGAGATTCCCTGGGCGTTCAAATCACTCCAACAGCTGGATACAGTGTCTAGCACAAGTAGAATCGATAGAGGTAAAGGGACCGAAAATCGGAAATTGGCCAATACGTATGAACTCCGATCGACCCCGATATTTCCTGGAGATTGGTAACCGTAAGTAGCAAGTAACTGCTAGGCAGCTGAATTGTTTGTCTAGTATCCCTGTAAGTACATTATCGGCGAGCTAATAGAAGCAGTCCGCAATATTGCCAATAATAATGGGCCAGCGGCCATTGGGAGGAAGTTCGGTGAGATTATGGGCGCAAACACGGAGCTATGATAAGCTACACATGGACGAAATGGGGGCCAGTTTCAGTACAAAATAACTCATACAGTAATGGTATACCTGCTAATACGGATTTGATACTCTACATCTTTATGAGGTACGTCAGACATGCGCATATAGCTTACTTATTTCACATTCAAGTCTAGTCAGTCATCCAATGGGAGTCACGTATGGACCTGATAAGGGAACAGACTGTGTGCGAAGAAGCAGTAGTTGTTAAGGAACCAGCCAACTGGATGGAAATTATCTCTCACGTGTAAAAGTACCTACTGTACATATTAGGCGTCCACAGTCTTCCTTCTGTCCGAAGACATGATAGCAAATGAGCGACTAGCCCAAATAACCTTTCTTCCATCGTACCAGTGACTATGGGATTACAAAAGGTATAAATAAACCAAAGGGTAGAAACCTCTCCAGCTCATCAGACTTCATATCTAATATCACCTTCAACATGGCTGGCAACCCCCAATCTATCTTGAAATGGCTTAGCCTATTCGCCATGGTGCTGGGAGCATTCAGTGGCGAGACTGATGAGCTATTTCTGGACCTTGATGTTGATAAAGTTGCAAACTGAACGGCAGGTTCATGGATTCAAGCCCCGTGGGGTAAATCATATGTGTCTGCCGTACGTGAAAGTCGTTACGGCGATGCCGTATGGGCGCGGTATCATATGGATGGTCGAGCTGTGGGCAACATCATCGAGGCAGGCAACACTACTGTGACAAAGGAGCTGCTTGACGATGCCACGGGCTACAGGCTCGGCAATCCGGAACTCTACAACCAAGTGGCCACCAGATACAACACCACTAGCTCGAACGACGGACATCGGGAACTTGTCGACATTATCATCGGTGTTCTAGGTGAAGACCTCAAGGCTCTTGAAAAACGGGATGTGACCTACACTATCAAGTGCAGCAGCTCAAATCTAGCCCCACGTAGTTCTTGCTACGAGTTGCTTCAGGACATGAACCAGTACCAAACAGACCTTGTCTCAACGCGTACAATTGACTACTATGGTGGTTGCTGGTTCAGGGTCGGGCCTCATGGCAGTGGGGCCGATCTTACGTGGTATAAGGCACATGCGGTTGGAAAACTTATTTACGATGATTGCCCACGAACCAAAGCTTGTTGTACAACCGTATATGTTTCGGGTTACTCCCCTAAGAACACGGGGCACCGCAAGCTGTGTTTGAGCTCAAAGTCCACTGGTTGCTAGTGATACGGCTTTTTCGGTCTAAAGATATCTAATTTGCAGGTAAGAATCACCATGTCATTCCTCAGACTTCTCAAAAATTACATGCCCATATAAATATTTGACCATTAAGATGAACTGAAGTTCTGGATAGGAAGTCTTGACCTGAATAACGCTGGTCCCTTGCTAATGACCCTTGAACCACGCGACAGCCGAAGGAATATAAACCGAGCACCAATGGGAGTTTCTTGAAGGTTATATTGGTATATTACAACATTGTAATTATCCAAGATGTTGCCACTTCAGAGGTTGATAGTATGAAATATTGTAGCAATAATACTGCGACCTGAGCCAGGTGCATATCTATTATTCTCCACATTTCTTAGTTTGAGGACGTAGTTAAACCATTCATAAGCCGAAGCTAAACCCCCTCTCTATATCTTAATACTAGTAAGACCTACTTTGTGCTATCTAAACCTATCGATACGCTGAAAAGGGGGAAGACGGAGACGTATTGGCCACTCAGGATCAGTGTGCTGGTAAGCATTGTTAGTGTCTGATTCTACCCCATCTTAGATTTTGCCCTCACTTATACAGATCGTGAGAACTGAAAGAAAATAACGTTCAAGGTGCAACAATCCTTTCACCAGTAATTGTTACTTACAGAGGTGTAGAAATTGAGTGCAGCGCCCACGAGAATCTAGGCAGAGGCGCTTATCAGGCACCAATCAATCAGCGGGTATATGTATTAATTGCGAAATTATAAATGCCTCCTTGTTCCCACCCTCCATGCACATACTTGCACTGTCTGCTACGCAACGTCATCTTGGCCCAAAATTTCTTCGTTCTTTGCTTCTTCCTTTCAAACGCCACAAGATTACTATATCCTGCAAAGCTCCTCAGTGGCTATGGAATCCTCCCTACCTGAACAGATATTTCTCGATATTCCCATCGCAGACGTCATCAACAAAACGACGAAAAGACAACTAGTCGAGCCATGGGCATCTCGGTACTGCACAGCCATTGCTGAAAAACGCTATGGTGATGCGATTTGGGCGCGATACCATATAGATGGACGCGCCAAAGATGGTATCTACACCAATCTGCGCGATAATGGTGATGGGCCATTTGAACTACACGAAACTAGTGTTTACGATGTGATTATGGAAGATGCCCGAGAACTTGCGCAAGGTGATCCGGAACTTTTTAGCGAGACACTTCGATTCTATCGCAATTCTAGTCCAAGTGACGGTCGACAGGATATTATTGATGGTCTCTTCAGGATAGGATCGTCTTGCCTAGCTAGTGGGTGAGGTGAGTGGGAATCAATGTGCTGCTACAGGTAAACAATGTCTCCCAGCTACAGTCGTCGTCGTTGATTTCAAATCCACCTACTGATCCCGGCGTGCTTGATACTTTAGTTCTTATATGAATCGTCCCCTTTTGCATTCAGTGCTAAATCCTGTTGTCTTAAATGATTTATTTCCTAGATACATCTTGAATAAAAAGCAATTAAGCTATGGTCATTAATTTTAGGCAGCCTATGGCTGCTCCTTTCCCTGTAATGCACGATGGCAAAATACACGCGTAGATCCTCACTTAGTCACTCGGGCTCCGGATCGGATCTTTCTCCCCACTCTCCACACTCTTAAGGAACTCCCTGGCAGCATCCGGATCATCCTTGAACACATGCTCCGCCACCATCCGTTGCGGCGTCTCTCCCATCCACTGGAACAACGAAAAGTCGCGGAACCGGTCTGCCCGGAAAATCTCCAGCACCTCGACCTCCTCGTCATCACTGAGGTTCTCAATGAAATGACCCATGTTGCGAGGAACAATGCCCACATCTCCGGCTACGTAGTCAAACGTACGAGCGTTGCCCTCGGCAGCAAAGATGGTCACTCGCGCCCGACCGCGCTTGAAGTAGGACCATTCATCTGCATTGGGATGCCAGTGCATCTCGCGGATAGCTCCCGGGTGGATGGTCAGATGGGCGGCCGCGACAGTCTTGGAGATGGGAAAGTTGGACGAGTCAGTGATGCGCACCTCTCCGCCGGAAGTATGCTCCGGCTCCTGGGCGAGCATCTTATGCGTGAAGCGCTGCTTGGATGCTTTGAAGTTGCGGGGGAGCTCTTTGGGGATAGAGTCTGGGACAGAGCCCTGGAAGATGTACTTTTCAGATTGCGGAATGTTCTTGAATATTTGCGGGCGCATGCGGAAATTGCCAGCGAGGACGGACTTGGGTGTATGTGCTGTTGTGTAGCATTGTTAGTATTCTTTGGGGAGGTTGTACAGCAGCAAGCACGGCGAACATACCAATCCAGTCGGTCAACAAGAACGTGGACTCCTCGGAAAAGCTTCCATCATCAAAGATCAGTAAGAACTCGGTGCCATTGGGACCGAGACCCTGGAGGGAATGGGGATGACCCGATGGGAAGTACCAGAGGTCACCCTCTTCCAGATCGTCGATGAAGCTGCCTCCCTCTAGGTCAAGGCCGATGACTCGTACACGTCCGGCCAGCACATACGCCCACTCTGCTTCCCGATGCCAATGCAGCTCGCGGATGACACCCTCATCCAGACGCATGTTAACTCCAGCAAGCTCCTTGCTCGTTGGCAGCTCACGTACAGTAGTCTGACGTGTCCAACCGCCCTCCTGCAATGCATTAGCCTTATCGCTTGTCATACAGAGACACTCAAGTGACTTACTTCGATGCGGATGTGAGAGTCTGCAAAGCTCCACCGCATGTTTGGCATGTTGCCATGGTCTGTGCTCGGGGGACGGAGCATGTCGGGATTCTGGCGCTCACGGTCCTTGTTGCGGGGTCCCATGATGTTGGCTCCATCTCCCATGCGCCAGGGCAAGGGTTCATGGCCTTCACCGATCGCATCTACCTTGTGGTCATAGGGGTCGCGATGATCAGGGGTGAATGGTTTGTCCTGGAAGAACATGGATGGGGACGATGCGGGAATTTGCAATAGTTGCTGGTATGCTTCGTTAGGGACCGGGCCTCCATGACTGGGATGGAGGAGGGCGGCCACGGTCGCGAAACTCAGCAACAGCTGACGTGGTGACAGGGGTAGCTGCATCTTTCCAATCTACTAGGAAGGCTTGATCTCCAGATCTCTGTCTCTGTTTTTGCGACCGTGGAAACCGACCATTCTTATATTCCTTGGCTGAGGGGGTGGGTCAGAGCAAGCTTGATATCAATGGAAATTCTCTCATATCCGACTCTTCCGGGAGACCAGTGACGTGGATTCCAGAAAGCAAGAAATAGACGCAAGGGTGGGAACCTCGTCTGGGGTCAAAAAGCCCGAACAAAGCTTGGTAGCAATGCTTGTTTGGGGACAAGGGGGAGTCCATTGGCCCCAACCATTCAGCCCTACAGGGCCGGGCACTCAACGTCATTGGATCTGCGCCGACGTCACGCGCGATGGATCACAGTCTCGCTCTTTCTTTCTCCACTCATCTCCAACTCTTTTTCCCCCCTTCATATCCCACTGCCGTCTTAACCGTGGACGAACTATTAAGTCCCTGCTAGCTGTCGCTATTCACATCGTTATATGAGACACTCTTTTGAAATAATACTTGCTGCCTAGTTTGCGCGATCGGGCACTCCCAGGCCTCCCCACTCCCAATTCTTCCCTTCCCCTCTCGTGTTTCCCACACACACACACACACACACACACACAGACCATCCACCAACCTTCACTCTCGACCATGGCGCACGAAACCGCGCACTACCAGGAATTTCCCGCCCATGAGAACGATCCTCTTCTGGGGCACCGTGGACCTGGCTCCAAACCTTCCCCCCTGAGCCAACTGCGCCGCCATCTCCGCACCGAAATCGACCCGCACCGAGCAGACCTTCTCCTCGTTTTCTGCTACGTCATCACCGGTCTTCTGGACAGTTCTGCCGTATTCATCTGGGGCTCCTTTGTGAGCATGCAGACTGGCAACACGGTATACTTTGGACTAGGGCTGGCCGGGGTGGATGAGAGTCAACGGTGGCTTAAATCGCTCATCTCGATCGGCAGTTTCTGCATCGGCTCCTTTTTCTTCGCCGTGTTACACCGCCTATTTCACTCACCGCGGCAACGGTCCGCCCTGACTCTGTCCTTCTCCCTGCAGCTGGTTTGTGTAACTGTCGCTGCGAGTATTGTCACTGTGCAGCACACCGGCAAGACCGATCCTCTGACGTGGAAGATTGGCGTGCCGTTGGCGTTGGTCGCGTTCCAGAGTAGTGGTCAGGCTGTGTCGAGTCGCGTGTTGAAGTGTAGTAGTTTGACGAGTGTTGTGCTTACTAGTATCTATTGTGATTTGTTCTCGTCGCCGGCACTGACCTCTTGCAGTGTGCTTAAGGCTCCTGATGAGTGGAGGCGGTTGGGGGCTGTGGTGGGGATGTTGATCGGAATTGTGGCGGGTGGCTGGTGGGCGAGGAGTGAGGTTGGATTGCCGGGCGCACTTTGGACTGCTGTAGTGTTGAAGGGGATGATTGCAGCTGCATGGATGTTGTGGAAGTCAAAGGATGTTGATGATGAGTAGGCTGCTTGATACTGGGGGGACATATTACTAGTAGTATTGTCGTCTGGTCATTTGGCGCTAGAAATCGCGCGTGGGGCAACGCACAGCATCCAGCAGGCAGTTTGTCTATACATAGTGCTTTACTTCCTATAACAGGCTGAGATATAGACTGGGAGCGATAACAGTAGTTATGGCTCTAGTACACGGGATGTGGACGCACACCTGATGGAGTCGCTTGATTCCACTAAATTATAGCGTCCATTGACCTGTCCTATCGCCAGTTTGATTACACAGCAGCAACCTCAATAGACACCCTCAACGCACCTCTCCAGACGGGGATAATTCAGGAATTAACGAGTCAAATGCTTTGCTAACCTTCGCGGAGAAATTTCCGCCCGGGGCAATGCAAGGAATTTTTGATTATAGGGCAGCTTTTGTTGATTCAAGTCGTCTCCCCTCAATTAACTGGAATAGAGTTAAACCCCTCATTCCCCGCACG